AGTTATTTAAACATGAACAGAGTGCTTGGCACATTAACATATAGAACAATGCTGCTCTGGTAGTTCAAATGATAATAAGACCTAATAGGATTTCCCTATCCCTGATTCTGCTGAATCCAAGTAAGACTGATTTAAAAGTCGTAAATGTGCAGGAGGTGGCTTCCAAGACAACAAAAGGCATTTGTGTGCTCTGAAAAACAAGCTTTGAGGATGTGACAACACATGAAAAATTCCTTCAGCTGTACCTCTGCTCAGCACGCCTCGGGTGAGCTGAGGCTGCCCTAGCGGCAGGTTTGTCATATATCTTGCTTCATTTCCATATGCATTGTGTTCCTGTGGCTTTCTTGGCGGCTTCCTCTCGGCTGGTGCCGTAGCACACCCAGAGCGAGTTCCTGGTGGACTCGAGAGAAGGGGCAGCGCTGCCGGGAGGCGCCGGGAGAAGCGTCCCTGCCCGGGGCGGCTCACGGGCTGCGCCGCAGCGGGCGTGCCTCCGAGAGGAACGGCGAGTGAAAAGGAGGGAAGAAGTAAGGAAATAACTCAGTCAGCACAGACACAGCTAAGTCTCCTGAAAGTTCCTCAGAAAATTAGGAAAGCGGCAAGATAAGCACATAGGCTGGCAGGGATGTGCATGTGTGAAGGGCACGCACGCACAGATGCACCCGTGGGGAGGGCTCAGGTGTGTGAGCAGCAACAACCTCCTGGTTCCATTTTACTGCCACATCAAAAATAAAAGGGGTGCTGGAATATACGGGTCTGGGACCAGCATAGCAGAATGAATCTGCACAGGCAGCAGCAACTCTGTGTTTGAAGACGGAGAGGGATGAAAGTTTAGAAACAGGACAGACAGCAGCACTGAACAGTTTTCAGTGAAATTCATGCTCATATAAAATTCCAGCATCTTGGATTAAACACCTATGCGAGAAGTGATTGAATCCCTAACAGCTGCAGCAAAATGCCTTCATTTGCAAGTGTTACTGGTGGATAAGCGAAATTATCTTGTTATTATTGCTATTTTTAGCAGCACCCATAACACTAGCTGCTTTCCAAACAGATTTCTCTCCAGTGAGCTTGCTACGACTGTTGTGTGCACGTGGATGTTAAATTATTTTCTTCTGTAGTACAAGTGGCTCACTGTAGGTTTCAAAGTTCAAAAAGCACCATGGTGGGTAAAATTGGAGTTAAACAACCCAAAGACTATAATTTCATGAGGGATATAAGAGCAATTCTCTCCCTGCAAGCACCATTTATCCTCTGGACAATAAGATTTTTAATGTTGAAAAGCATGTTTGATTTTAAATTCATACTTAAATTTGTAAAAAAACACTGTGGTACTCTGTGTTTGAACCAAAGATTTTATTTTCTTTTATCACTGCTATAATTTTTGTGGACAATATAATAATGAAATACTTCTATGAATAAAAAGTAATAAGTGAAAGCTTAGAGATTTAGAGAATAATATTTCAGGAATTTTGCCTCAAATAACCAGGTCTTTTTTTTTTTTTTTTTTTTTTAATGCACAAGTATGCATGAGGAAAAACAGTGGTGTTCTGTCAAATAAAAAAAAACCATCTTTCTCATTAGGACTGTGTTTATCACGCTTTCAAATATTCTGCAAACCAATGCCCTTATTTGTCACTGTAATTCAATATAATAAATGCTGTCAAAACTGCTCACTTTGCTCGCTAGAGACAAATTTGCTGAAGTTTTGCAGCATGAGCCAAATAACACAGCACCAGATCCTCCAGCTTTTATTTCACTTTGCTCTAGACACTATTCATACTGGTTTCTGTGCAATTTTTGCTCAAGTAAGGGCTGAAAGTTTCAGGTTTTGAACATGAGACTTTTTTAGAAATAAACAGTACAGAAATCCCATTTACAAAGAACATCGGGTGACTGGAATGGTGCTGCTTGTGAGCTTTATCTCTGAAATGTCAAGCTTATTTCCTTCAGATTATTGCAAAATACAAACTACATCCTTGATGAAATTCTCTCAAGGTCCATGAGGTCACTCTCAGGATTAAACACTGCCTGACCTTTTTTATACAGAGTCCAGAAACACTGTATTTTGGTGCCTACTACCCTTTCAGAGATGTTAGTCTGTTCCACTAAAAACAAAGATTATAGATCTCTTCCCTCGTGGGAAGAGGTTTGATGAAGCAACTCTCAGTTATTACCTTGTCCAGAGACTCAAGGAACCACACTGTGTCCTTCTGGCAATAGACAAAACAGACAAAGTTATCACTCAAGGACAGCCTTGAGTAATGGCTACATTTTCCATGGTTATAAAAAACATGTTTTGATGCATTAAATAAAGAAAATACATTAAGAGCTATGTATTGGGAATAGGTAGATTGGGAGGTCATGAGAAAAGCAGCTGGGAGAGTGGTTAGGGCAGAAGATTAGAGTCAGCTGCTCTTTTTAGTCCTCACCACACTACTGACTTGTCCTGAGATTTGGAGAAGACTTTTATGGTAAAATCTCTAAACTAGAGTCCTTCGTCTCACTCTTTTGAACTGCCTTTCTGCATCTGTGCAGACCACAGCAGTTTAACATGTGAACATTTCACAGGCTCAGATAAAAACTGCGAAATATTAACAGCTGTACTGGCCAGCCAGTGCGTTTTTATCTCTTTTTGAACATGTGCCCAAAGACCATTTGATGAAGATATGTTCTACACCTGTAAAGAAATAGATTTCTACATAGACACAGGGGGGAGAGCAGAGAACATGAAAAACAAGATGAAATCCACTGATGACTACAGCTCCTCTGACTGAATCCTTTATTGCAGCTGCATGGACAGACCCCTCCCTGAGTTTTTACTCCAGCCATTATTCCTAATTTGGTATCCAGAAGTCAGCCTTGGCTTCCAACCTGAAAAAAAAAGGGAGACAGGCTAACACACACTAGCCTCCGTTAAGCATTCAGGGTATTGTGCACGTGATAAAGGATTGGATAAAACAGTGGCAAAAGTCTGCTATCTTCCAAGGCTCAGGAAAATAAACCACAAAGACAATTCAACAAAGTCCTCTTTGTTCCTGAATAGAACCAACAAAATGAAAGGAATCTGGTGGAAGAGAGAAGGCAAGAAAGAGGTCTGCTGCAGGGAGCAAGTAGAGACAGAATCGCTCTTTGCCGGTTCCTCTGACAGAGCAAGTGCATGATTATCACATGAGCCTCACAAAGACTGGAATTAAAGGGGCTGACTCGGCTGTCACATCGCTTAAGCTGCACTGAGGTCAAAGGAGTTCGGACTAACCGAGGTCAGCAACACACAGCCTGTGAAGTAGGGGTCTCTTTTTCAAAGCAACAATTGCTTAGGTTGATAAAAATAGATACCTAGAGCCCACAATGGCTTACAAAGCCATCCCTTTATGCCAGGTTCCCACAAAGTGCTGTATATAATCAATAGTGCTCTGAAAAGAACAGAATCACAATGAAGGCAGTCAGGTGGTCACTAGAAACAAGTGTAAAGGGCAAAACACACAAGAGAAGTCACCATCTGTGCTAACCCCTTAAAGACCAAGGGAAAAAATAAGTCTGAACTACCGGCACACAAGTATGATAGAATCCAAATGCAAACAGGTGTCAATGGCACGACAGTAGGGGAGTCTGCTATTTGCAGGTCACCACATGTCTTCTGTATATTATTTCATGAATCATGTCCCCAACAGAGACTTTGCTGATTTCCAGTGATGCCAGGGCTACTGATAAATGTCTCTGTGCTAAAAATAGTACCTATTCTCTCCCATGCCCTCTGTCCCCTTTCAGCCTCCACTTCATATGAATCAGCTCCAAGAGAGGGGCACTGACCTCATCTCACCAGGAATATCAAACATCTCCACAGCTTTGATGAACCTTTTGATGAGAGTGGAAAAAGGAGAAATGTACACATCAGCTGTGTAATCATGTGCTGGATGGGTCTGGATGCATCCTAAGGTTTATGTTTAAAAGCAAAAACCGATACACATCTTCCTTGGTATGCAAGCACAGAAAAGCACCCTTTGTTTTTGTGTGGTTTGGGGCGGGGGGGTGGGGGAGGGTGGTTTCTGGAGGATTCAATAGTATTTGGATGGGGTCCACAGAAAAAACTGCTAATTTTGTCATAGGCATGGAATATATCATCTTTGCCATTATCATCACTTTCCAGATAAAATCAAGATCAGGATATCAGTGGGCTTATTGCTCCACAACGTGGATTAAATAATTGCTTCTGCCCAATAAACTCATACTGACCTTTGAATCCTGATTTTTGAATTAGGATTTTCTATCTTGACGTTATTTGTGGCACCATACCGGATTTTTATTATCATTTTTACAAATACAATCTGTGTCCCCCTCATTCCTCAAGCCATAGCATTGGGGCATCCTAAAAAAATAGATCTGCTGTGACACTGATAGAGTGAACAGAGACAGGTTTTCAAGCATCATTCTGCCACAGCTCTTTGTGGACAGGGAACTTGCTAAAAAAAAAAAAAAAAAAAAAAAAAAAAAACCTGAGAGCAAGACAAAGCAAAGAGGGCAACCTGCATGACCTCTGGGGGATCTTCACAGATGTGGTCAAGCTGATTGTGCAGATGAACCTGAGAAACCAAGTCCTTGGGTAAGCTCAGTTATCCTTTACAACCTGACTGTTAATGGCTATGTGTTTACCTGTCCTTGAGGAAAGAGCCTCTGTTGTGGCTTATCAAACAGAGGAATTCCCAGTGTCCTCAGGAAAGTCTGGGACAAAAGTTAAGCTGATAATTCCAAATACACTATTTGTGCTTAATCATTTGACTGAGTTTAAACTGGAAATGCTGTTCTATGTCCAGTGCTGTAACAGCAGAAAAGTGCAGGTCTTTTTCATTTCTGTTCTTTTAATCCAATTGTACTGCACATTTTCTGTTCTGTTGCAAAGCTTTAGGCACTGCTGGTGCTGTGCCCCCTAGGTCAGAATCACCTTGCAGAAGGAGATGCCAATGCCTGTTGTTAAGGGGTTTGTGTGTGTGTGTTGAGGCCAGGTGAAGGACAACTGTCTCCACTGATGCTTCCTTAGAGGATCCTGGACAAAGCAACACAGAGAGATTCTACAGAGGGAAAGCCAGCACCTACAATGCTTGTGAAGGGAGTGGGTAAAACCACAGACCGTGGAATTTGGGCTTTCTGATGCAGATGGAATCCAGATTGATGAGAAGATGAGAAGCAGGCACTCCAATCATGTACAGCCTGGGCAAGGTGAGGGGCTTGTTCTTTGAGACCTGGAGGTGTTTACTCCTGATCTGCTGGACACTGAGAAGGCTGCAATCCACCAAACAGTAGCACTCTCTGTTGAGCATTCTCCACTGAAAATGTTTTGGTTTTCTCTGTAAGCAAGCTTATTCTTGTATCTCCAAAGTGATGGGAAGTAATGCCAATTTCTCTGTGTGTTGTCACCAGCTCCTCAACTCAGCATGTCTTGCTGGTAACTTATCCTTCCATTGCAATAAAGCAGCCTTGCTCTTTCACACCACGTTAAAGAAAATAACCAGCAGAGTACTTAAACCAGGCTTGGCTTGACTGCAGCTTTCAATTGAGCTCAACAGTAAAAGGAAAGCCTATTAGTACTACTTCCCCACAGCTAGCTTTGCTCAATGCCTAGTGTTAAGATAAATTATGTTCTTCAGTGTGTAGGATGAAATAAGAGTTGCTATCACAGCAGGATGAGTTTTTCAAATATTACTTATATTAGGCAACAATCTTTTGTTCCCACAGAAGGAAAAATTTTGACAACAGATAACCAAGCTTATCTTGGAGATCTATCACCTGGGGCCATAATCCATGATCTATGTAGCCTCACTTAGTGCAAAGTATATCATTTTGTCTAACAGCCTTTAACAGGGACTTTGACAGAGCTATTATTTTGTTCTGAATGATATACAAACAAATTCAGTTCTACAGCTTCATCTCCAGTCATCTCTCTTCATTGTTCTTTTATTGCAAGTATTCCTTGGCATGGTTTAAGAACTACTGAAGTATTTAATAGCTGTTTAAAAGTAACAGCTATTGCTACTTAGACTAGAGGACATAATAAGAGGAGAACTAAACAGGTCATTACCTTTGCAAGTAAGGTGTGTATGGAGAAGGATTTAAGAGAAGTGAAATTATAAATCGTTACTCCATTATTCTCTCTGTTTTAAGTGAGAAAGCAGAATGGGTTTGTAACATTAAGTACAGGGTAAGACTATTCTGAGTCTAATACAAATATGAAGGTACTGTTAGAGAGAATTTGCCAGTTGCTTAGCCCTTGGAGAGCTACTTCTGGGACTGCTTAGGTAGGGATTCTTGGCTCCACATCTCAAATGTGATCAACATTTTGCTTGTAATTCTTGGTCACTAAAGGGTATGCCAGTTGTGAACAAGAATGTATTTTCCATTCAGATGGAGAAAGTAGAGGGAAAGGTATAAGATGGAGTGTCTCATTTTTCTTGAGATCGATCCAAGACCTTAAAAAAACAATGGAAATCTTTCTGTTGAGTTCACCATGCTCTGGATCATATCCTTACAAAACTCATTTTATTGTCAAGTCCATTCCTTCTTCCCCATTCTGTTGCTCAATTTGGTCTCTGCTGTTGGGCACTTTTTTGCAAATATTAATAAATCTGTATAATCTTTGGCCTTTAGCTGAGTCTCAATTCCATGGCACACTGTTGCACTGTGTGCGTGACTGCATGGTTGAGGGTTGCTCTGGAAATTACTCATAAAAATTAATTGTCTGGTAATACCACAATTGTCAATATGTGTAGGTTGCAGCATTCCCCCTGTGGGCTGTTGTAGCAGATCATAAAACTTCATTTCCAGGAAAGTTTCAAAACTTTTATTTTCTAGGGAACATTAATTATGAGAGTCCAGATGACCTGTCCCATTTCTCCGCTAACTTCGTCTCTTTTTTCTCTCATCAGACATGGTAATTTGAAGGCAACTGGCAACAGATCACATGTCAGGCTCCTGGTTTTATATCAGTGTCAGCTGAAGTGTTTAAAAGCAGCCAGACTCATAAGCCTAATCCCCAAACGAATGTTTATATGTGACTATTTCCCCATTGTTAAACTTTTGTGCCAACAGCTGATTTACAAGTCTGACACTTATGCAGACATATGCTTTGGCATTCTGCAGGCTTCCTGAGACTCATGCCCTCCAGCACTGCTAGTTGATCTCCCCTTCAAGCTCAGGACATTGATGGATCATCACAATGGACAAACCACTGTGGGCCTACATGGTCGTAAGAACTCTAGTCATGTCCCCATTGGAGTTTACAGCGATAAATTCTTCACTGAGAAATAATATTCCCTCAAGACCAAACCTTTTGCAGGTATTTACCAGTTCTTATGAAATTCTTATCTGGGGAAGATTCTCATGCCTAGGATGAAACACGTCAAAGAGCAAGAAAACTCCCACCCCTCCTGATAATCATCCTATGATCAAGACACTGACACAGGAGTCCAGATTTCAAGTTTCTGTTCTGCAAGATGTCAGAATCCAGGCAATTCCAGGCAAGCTTTCGGGCCACCAAAATATCAGCTCTTCTTGTATTCTGTCTCTCCTGTTGGTCCTGTTTCACTTTGTATAAATAAATAGCCATTAATTGAACAAGGGTTTGAACTCCAGCTGCCCATTGAACTATTGCATTGGTCTTTCCCCAGGTCAGTGAACAGGTAACTGCTTGTATGAAGTTAGAAAGTTGCAGAGCAACAGAGGTAGCTGAGGGGTCCCAAAAATTCAAGGAAATAAAAGAAAACCACTTGGTAAAGTCATCTAGTAGAGTATGAATCACCTGTTTTTCAGTCCTTGATCTGAATGAGGAAGAAGGACTTATAGCTGTTCTAGGAGAGGCTTTGTCCAAACCTCTGAAAGGTCATAATCCCACCACATTTTGAAAAGAACTGATATTTAAAAGTCATACTCTGTTCCTTTCTGAAGTAAAAAAAAAACCCTTTAGCTAAATGATCCCCTAACAAGCCCCTTGTATTAGAGTGAAGGTGCATCACAATATCTTGAGTCTTAAAGTTGCTGGAAACTCTTCTCCAGACATGAAAAAGGACCTCACTGTTCCAGTTCCAAGTGATTTCTTCACCTAACACTCTCCCCAGTTTTGCTGGCATTTTTCAAATGAAGGTTTAAGTCTATTACTTACACACTACTTTCATATGACAAATATGAGTTTTAGTTGTATTTAGTCATGCAGAAAGATAACTGAAAGCAATAGGGAGAATTCAGTGATTTAGTGTAACATTGCCATAAAAGATCATATAAAAGGTAAGACAAGGACTGGAGAGGTTCGGTCCCAATCTTCTTACCTTGCTGCTAGATAATATATTGCAATAACTTTAATATTTACATTTGATGGTCAAAAATATTTATTTTCAAGCATCTCTTTGATAAGGAACTTGGATTAAGTTCTTTGATTAGGAATGCAAATCCATGTTTTATTCAGATTCACCTCTCTATAACCATGTCAACAAATTGGTATTTCTGTAGACGTAAGTCTGGTTTTTCTTTAATGTCATATAATCTTTCTCATAAGCACTTGCATAAAATTAGTTAAGAGTTAACCAACTAAAATATACAAATATGCGGGAGGTTTTATGAAGAGCTACAACTTCAAAAGGAGTCGGTTTAGGGGTCATGACCCCATTTTTTGCAATAACTTATGCATCACAAACTTACGTAATTGGCAGCAGATAACATATCACACTCTCAGTTTTATGTCCTTGGTTTGACAACAGTGTCAATTGCAGTATTTGCTAACTGCAGAACAAATGGAACCTCATAGATGAAAATGTTTTCATTCCAAAACTGATGTTTGTAGCAAAACATTCCCCCTTTATTGTTCTTTTTTAACATTACAAAATTCAGTATCAGAAATGGGTAGGGATATACACATAATTTTGGACACCAAAAAATATTTCTGAATACTATTTATCCTAGCAAAATGGAAATACCTGAGAAAGGAAAGTATATGTTTTTCTAAATAAAATATCATCAGCACAAAAGAACACAAGAAGTGGCCTTGGATCTCTAAATCTTTGTTATCTTTAGAGCATGAATCAGCTTTAAGATAAATTATTGGGAAATTAGTGACCTGGATTTTAAAACATTTTAGTAGGGTAGATTTAAGTTACATTTTCCTTTCCCCAGAGATTGTATTAAACAGCAGCCAAGAGGCAAGTCTAGACTGCTTCTCTTTGTCAAAACTGGACCCCTGTACCATCCACTTACTGGTCCATCCTCTTGGGACACTGGAATCTTCACAAGCCACAGCAGAAAGTGCATAAAGCAAAAAATTATTATACAGAAGGGAGGCATTTAAAAGGAACTTTAGTGACTTAAGGTCTTAATACCTATTTAAATTCAATGGTAGAGAGGCCAAAATTTATTGAGTCTCTTTTTGAGTGATCTGAGGCTTAGGAGTAGGATTTGTTTGGGGTTTGGCTCTGACATGTGTATTTTGTGGGTTGCAGTTCTATTTCAATACACTTCTTTCTCAACAGTGAGCATATTGATACACACAATATTGACCATAATTCCCAAAATTGTGCAATAGAGAGGAAGAGAATGGTGGATATTTTATTAATGTGAAGTTTTCAAGTGGACCAAATTACAAATTAACATTGGGAAACAATTATATGCCATCAGTTTAGTAAAGCATTTGTGATTATTTCTCATCTGAACCTAAATTTAAACTGACCGAAAGAAAACATGTGTTTTGAAATCTGGCTCACAGTAGATTAGCACCTATGATGTATATTATTTGCTGGACAAGATTTTTGAGTCAACTTTGTTAAAAACTTTTGGTATCTGGGAGAGCAGATTTTCTTCAATGAGACTCCATGACGTAGCTAAACTAGCACAAGTTATAAGCAACAGACAAGGAAAAGAAAAAAATTATAATGAATAGCAGGAGGAAGGACATAGAATTTTAAAAATGGAAAAAAATTAAACTGATACGCATAAGAAAAAGGGACACCCATTATAGAATCATATACTGGTTTATGTTGGAAAAGGCCTTAAAACTCATTGGGCCTATCACTAAACCAAGTCCCCAAGTGCCAAATCTACACACCTTTTAAAACACTCCTAGGAAAGGTGATTTCATCACTTCCCTGGACAGTCTCTTCCAATGCTTGCCAACCCTTTTCATGAAAAAAATTACCTAATACCCAATCTAAACTTTGCCTAGCACAAACTGAGGC